TGACATTTCACAACCATAGTCAATAAAATTAACAGGATGTATATCAGACTTAAGGTTATATGGAAATTAAAATTATAATGGAAATGTTCTTATACTTCCTTGTGTAATAATGAGATTCTGTTAATATTGAGACTGAGGTCAGAGTTTCATCAAAGATTTTATCTATGCAGAACGTCCTGCAAACAGAAGACATGTAGCATGTTAAGAAGATGTTTGTTTTGGGTTAGCTGTAGTGGTGCTTGTTTAAAGTAGATAGGATGTTTGCAGTTTTCTTTTATCTCTACTTCTGTTTAGTGTTATTTCCTTTTCAATTTCCCAATTCTCTAAATTCTGTTTCTCAATGTCTTAAAAAAGGTTTATGTGTCCCATATTTTCTTAAAATTCCTGTTATAATTATTGACATCAGTAAGTCAGTTGCATTATCATCAGCAGCAGCAGTAGTAGTGTTTTTTTTACAAAGCTATGCAAAGTGTAGAATCTGCTGGCTTGGACCATTGTTACTTACTGAACTGAGAGATAATGAGAGGAAACACTTGTTACCTCTTTGAATAATATATTGGAATTTACCTGGACAGAGTGGGGAAAACAACAGAAAACCAAAAGATAGCTGTCTTTTTCCTGGGGTTAAAACTGGGAATATTCCATATGTGCAGTGGAAGTGTTAGCAGTTGCACTGTGACAGTGGGCCAGTTGGAATTCTTGTGTACATTTAAAATTACAGTAAGAGAGGGGGGGGGGGGAGGAGGAGGAAGTGTAATATTCAGATGTGCAGGAATGTAAGCCTTAGTAGGATTTTTCACAGTGGTGAGTCAGAAGAAGGCTGTCTTCTGGGTTGTAGTGCCTTGTAGTCTGGTAGAAATTTACCAATGTTTCAGAGCTGATGATGGAGGCAAAAGTACCTCTGAAACAAAGTTAAATTTCTGCCAGACTACATGGCATTACAACCCAGCAGACAGCCATCTAATGTAAGCTTTATTTTATGTTTTCTTGCAGTGGAATAATAGTTTCCATCCTATAGATGAGAGACTGCTTTTTGTTGCACTCTTGATGTAACTAATGGTATTGTTGCATTTATGCGTTATAGCTCCAAATTTTCATTGTGTGGTTACAATCGTGTCACATATTAGTGTTGAAATGTTGAGGATTAGGAAATTTGCAGAAACAGCTTATTTAGAAAAATAAGTTTGTTATAATATGTTTTTCTTTGTGCTGTATGGTCATTATGATGACAGAATGTTTTTTTTGCAGAAATGACTTTGAAGTATTTATGGATTAGTGAAACAGGTCTTCTTTTATATTGTTGATTGTGCAATGTAAAGGAAGTATTATAGACATTTTGAATTAAATGGTGCTGCACACCGGAAAGTGGCCTAATCTTACTTAACACTCAGTGTATTAGGAGATTTAAATTCCTGTATTATTGGACTGCCAGCCATACATTAACTCTTAAACAGTTTAGTGGTGTGCTAGAGCAATGTACTGCCAGTTGGATTGTGTGTAAGAAGTGACACATGGATGATAACATTTAAAATGACCTAACCAAATTATTAGCTAACTAACTGAGTATGTAGAGCAAAGTCCTTCAAGGTCCATTTTAGTATTATCTTCCATTCTGTGCCTAAATCGTCTGAGTGGTCTCTTCATCACTTCCCTTTTTCAGATTTTGTGGCCAACTTTTTCTTTGGTGATTATATTTTTGGATTCTTTGAAAGAAAGGTACTTCTGTTATTTGTTATGTTTGATTGTATTACTTGAAAAAAAGTTTAAGTTTTATATGTTTTTAAGAGGTTTGTATGAAGATAAGTTTCATGCTAATTCGCATGTTCTTATTTTGTAATGGAATGATATATTAAGATGGAAAAAATGCATTTTTTAGGTGTCTTATCACTACTATCCTGGGCATAAGACAGTGTGAGATAAGGGTTAAGATTGTTTAACACACTTTAAAGCTTTGTCTTTTTACAGTATACTCTTAACATTTTTGGCATGTTTATTTTTAGTAAATGAGGTTATTGAGCTGAATAATGTTGGCAGTCTCGATCATATGCTTTTCCTTGAACTACACTGAAGTGTCCTATTTTTCTTTTTCCTTTTTGAGAATTGTAGTGCCCTTTGAAGAGCAGTAAAATCTTCCAGTTAAACATTTAAATATGTTATTTGGTTGTCAGATGATACACATAAATTGGAAACATCTTAGTAGGAGGAGGAAGGAGAAGAAGTATCTTAGATGTGTCGGTTAAAGTAGCTTTGCATGTTTTATATTTTTCTAGCCAAGTTTAACTTTGTTTTCTTAGCTGATTTTTAACAATGTGCTTTTGTCCTGAAAATTTTGACACATTTTAATCTGTTCTTCAGTTCTTTCTACATTAATTCAGAAAAAGCAGTGTTCACACAGTACAAAATTTGTCTGCATTAAAAAGCAGTAGAAAGCAGTTCAAACTAAGATCATTAATGTAGTATCTTTATTACACCACTACTGATTAATATTCTTGTATAATGCAGAAGTTCAGCATACACATCTCAGCAATTCTAATATTATAGACAAAATATTCAACTAAAGTTCTTGGCAGTTGCTTCATTGTTACAGACACAGTATTCAGTCTCTCTGCCAGGTGTTTGAATATTACAGGCATCATTCAGCATGTGTGTTTGATGTTCTAACTTCATAACCGCAGTATTCGACCTGAGTGATGTCATACAGTTGTAAAATTACAGACACAGTAATAGCCAACTATTATAATATTACAGATCCAACATCCAACTTGAGTATTTATTAGCTGTTTTAACATGACTGACTTAATATTTGAACTGTCTGCCAGTTGTTCAGTATTTCCAGTAATTAATGACTAATTTGAGCCATTTGAGTACAGAGTTCTTTGTTTTGTGTACCTTTTGTTTTTAGGTTCTATGTGAGGCTAATTTTGTCACAAGTAGAATGCCTTGTAGCCAAATATTTTATTATGTTAATTCCCAAGATTTTACAGGACTTTGGTCATAAGTATTACTAAACTACTGTTTTATGTTTAAATAAGTCTCATAGAAAAATTCATAAGAACTTTTCATGACTGTAAAATTCATAATGCAGAAACATTTGTTTATAATTGTCATATGTCATCAAAATTCTTGTAGGACAGAAATTTTATCAAGTCTTTGCGCTAACATTTGTTTTTATGAACACTACATAAGATCTTTGTAGTGTAATTTTAGAGAGCTATGTTAACAACTGGAGCAGTAGATATTAATTTAAAACCATCTCATTGAACAAAAATGTTACATGATCTGTTAAGCTATTTTGGTACTCCTCAGCCATTAAAGAAACCAGACAGCTCTGCTTTATGATACGTGGGATTTGCAAGCATAGTGGAATTGGGGTTGGCCCTTGCTACCATCATGTTGGCTGTATCAGTCCATGCTGCATGTGTTGGTTGCGGAGGCAGGATCAATAGTTTAGTAATGTGCTGCCCTACAGTCCACCATTACTTCACACACACATACACAGCATCTCTTCTCTGCCTTCCATCCCCCCCCCACACCCTCATTCCCCCCCAACCCTCCATCAATGCTGCAGCAACCTTCTCTCCCTCTCACTCACTTGCTCCCACCAGCTTTTACAGGGGAAGGGGGACACACCCACACAAAGCTATTATTGAATAGAATTGCCCTTTGAATAGTATATTCCACTACATCTTCATTATGACAAACGTTCTGTGTATAACATGGAAATAATCAACCATTGACTGACTCCTCTGGGATTAAAACTGTTTGATTATATGGTAGAGATGTTTTTAAACTGTAGTGATTGTTAAGTATAACCCTTTGTATATAATTTGGCACATTCTGCATTTTCCTGTATTTTATTATGTATGTTTTTCTTGAACATCACTGTTCAACAAGCAGAGGAATAGATCACTGATTTTCATGGATAGTACAGGCAGAAATACTTTGTTACTCAAATGTTCTGTATGTTATTTTTGTAGTAAAGAATACGTACTAAACCTTTAGGTGTAACTTTTGCTGCATCAATAAATTCAAGTAAACACATTCTTATGGCATATAAAACTACAGATTCTCTCATGTTGGTTTTACTGAATTTTTTATTTAAAACTTTGATATGTCCATGAACTGCTGTTACTATCATTCTGTTGATTAGTTTTATCTTGGTCTGTCTCAATATTTGGATTGCTCTTACTATTTCCTACATCTTATTCCATTTGGCAAACAAGGTGCAATATAACAGTTGTTATGCAAGGGTCCTGTACTGCAGTTTACTGTCTTAAATGTTATATACTGTTGGTCATTTAAATACAAAACAATACATAATTAATATAAACACAAAGAAAATGGTAACATTCAGTAGGAGATCATTTTACAGTGTGTTGATTTTGTTATGTCCTGTTGTTTTTCTTAATTGAAGAACTGCTAATAAAAAAGAATATTCAGGGAAAAAAGGATAGCCACAACAGTTTCACATTTCATAAAATCCACTCAGGCAAGGAGCCACATCCTTGATGACAGTGCCAAGGTCTCTGAAACATTCAATTTCTGTTTCAAACTGACAGCTGATCATCTGATAGGATGTTATCACTTTTAGTCAATATGAAAGCATTACGATTTTGAAGTTATTAAAGCTTCAAATTTGATAAGATTTAAATTTATAGCTGAATTAGAATGCAACAAAAGTTTTCTGTAGCATGTCAGGTTGTGCTTATACACTAAAGTGTTGGGCACGAGTATTGCTTGTTAAATGATTCATATCCACTACTGAATAAAGTCAACCAAGTGGTAGTCATCATCCTGATTATGGAGTCAGCTGGGACCTCTGAAACATTGGTAAATGGTAACCAAACTACATGGCGCTACAACTTAAAAGACTTTGGACTCACTGCTGTGAAAACCTTAAATCCTACTAAAGTTGGCAGTTGGACATCATTATTTTTGATGAAGATGGCAATAAATTGCATCTTGGCTGGGATATGAAAGGAAAGTTATGATTAGATATGTCTCAGTCAGGGAAGCTGGCATTGGTCTCCAATAAAGTTAAGTTTGTTAATTATTTGATGTAAAATTATATGAGAGGATGTCAGTTAGGTGGATTGGGAAGAATGAAAAGTGTATATATTCTGTTGCATGGTATTATTTTGGCAAGGCTAAGGAAACCCACAGAAACTTGGGCTAGTTTATCAGGCTCCAGCTGAGGTATGTACCCACTACCACCCAAATACAGGTCCACTAGTTACTTTTGTGCCAGCTTGTTTTGTCATAATTCATGAAGTTTTGTTTTTCCAAAGTAGAGTACTCATTTCAACTTTGTATGTATTTTATTTTATTTGGTTCATAAACATGGTACATGTACAATATATTGCAGTAAGTTAATAGATTTGAATTTAGAAACTTGGAACAGTTTAACAGCTGAGGTAATAACTGGTGCAATTTGAGTTTCTCACAATGTTGAGTATGGGATGTAGCGTTCCAGATGACAACAAACTTTAAGGTGATAATTATATGTCAGCAAATAAAACCACCTGTTTGGGAGAATCTAACTTTGAAGGTATTGATTATAGTTGTCTGTAAATAACATGTCTGGTAATTAATGCCTTTACATTTTTTAGTCACAATGGCTTGTGTTATTTTGTGAGGAGCCTATTTAAATTTTGCAGATTTCCAATAAGATCAAGCACTGGTTATAATCTAATTCTGAAGGTGCTTAATGGTAAAAGCTTTTTTCATCTGTCTATACCTTTTAATTGCTTGGTGTCATTTAAATAGTAATTATGTTAAATATTTTTCCTTCCATAGGTCAAGGGCGATGAAGCTGTTGAGCATAGACCAGCTGTGTAACCTGCTGAAATATGCTATGTCGAGGATGAAGACACATTCTGGGGTGAGTGTCATAGTTCTTTTCATGTCTCATGTCTGTCATGCTTCTTTATTTGTACTGAACATTAGGATATTAGGAAACAAGTAGTGCGCTCAGATATCACTAATATCTTCTCGTATGCCTTTTAAATCACAAAGTATGTTGTTGTAAACAAATTTTATTTTCTAATTGTTTTATATTATTTAGAAATGTCCCTTGCCTTGAGGGAAACTACTGTGTAGAGACTTACATGACAAGGAACTTTAGTCTCTTCTTTTGTAGTGAAATCAGTTATATTGTGATGAACTTGACATTTACCTCAAGTGACAAATCAGGATGTGCATCCAGAATTTGGGCAGATAAATGTTTTGGGAAGTGGCTGCTAAGAAATAAATTACATTGAAATCAGAAATATAAAAACATTGTCATGTTGGGCATTGGAAATGTCCAATAACAAATTTTGACAGATTACGTAACACCAAACACAAAGTCAACTGGAATGATTTCTGTCTTCTGCACTTCTCACAGAAATGGTTAACCAGACAAGATATTGTTTGTTTTTTACAGGAGAGTAGGGAAATTTATTTTTAATGTCATTATTATTGCAAGTTAAATAAGAAAGAGATGATGGCTGGTTTTTCAAAAATGAACGTTGTTGTGCTTGTAAAAAGGACATGCTTGCATATTGACTGTTTTTAGACATCTCACTGGCATGAGCAGGTTGCAACATGACATGACCTGTGTGGGCTTTTGTATAGTCACAGCAGTATTACACTTGAAAAGGATATTTCTCTGATCATGCTGATTGAAGTGGAAGTAACTAAATTCTCTTTTAATGTAGTGTATTTCCTTATCTGTTAGTCCTGCATCCCACTGAATAATATGAAATATAATGTGTAATATTTAATCAGTTTTAAATTGTCTCTTCATCTTTGAATTGGATGAAGACAAATGAATATGCTGTTGTATCACGAAGCTCTTTCAATCACAACTCCAGAATAATGGAGAACTGTTTTGTTTTCATTCATAATAATTCTGTTAGTAAGAGTTGGGATTGGGATATATCAGTCACAGTAACTGGGTTATGGGCTGGATTTCTGGGGTTAGATTTATGGCCGAGGCACAGATTTTTCTTGTCACAGACACATCCGTATCAGCTCTGGGGCTCAGCCTCTGATCAAGTGGGTACTAGGAGCTCTTTACTGGATGTAAAGTGGTGGAATGTAAAGGGAACCACTCACCTCCTCCTAGTACCAAGGTTAAAAATGTGTTGAGCTATACCTCCACTCTTCAATATGTCTTTATAGTTTGCTGCTTAATTAAACACTAGGTACAACTTTGTCTTCATCTCAGAGTTTATTTACAGCCATTTTTGAAGGTAGTTATGGAAATAGGAGAAAATAGAATACATATAATGTTAATGCATTTGGTTGAAAGTAACTGGGTAGTGCTTGTAATGGGTGTGCAATTCAACTAACTCCATGGAATAAAGTCAGCCTTGAAAGTTGATAGTCAGTTAACTAATTAAGAAATCTGCTGTCTTTTGTGGAGTCTAAAGATACATAACATAGTCACAAGAGTCCACCACTGGTTGCTGTGCTGAGCCATGAATCCAGTCTACACCTTCCTATCCATTTCCCTAAGATCTAATTTAATGGTATTCTCCCATGTATCTATCCTTAGGTCTTCCATCTGGATTCCTACATTTAGGCTTTACAACTAAAACTGTATACACATTTCTTATCCCTCCATGTATGCTACATATCCTGGCTATCTTCCTCCTTGATATGGTTATCATAATGATATTTGGTTAATAGTACAGATATATGAATCTATGTTCATATTTTAATCTTTATTATCTGTGTGGTACATCTTACCCGCAGTCGAGCTCACCATGCATTGCAGTAGCATATTGCTATCCATTAACCTCAGAGTTAAAATCAAAAATCATAATAAAGTAATTGGCCACTGTATTGTAACTAAACTATGTGTCAGTTATAAAACTTATACAGCTTGAACTATAATGTTTTCTCTTTGCCAGCAGTGAAAGAATACCATACTATTTAAAGAAAGTTGTGTAAGAAGATTGGCTATTAAAAGATTGTATAACCTAGCTTTTTATTTGCAGAGAGGAAAGCACAGTTAAACAATCTTGCTGAATTAATAAATAATGCTATATAGAACTTTATTTAATATGCCAGGCACTTTCTGAGTAAGCAAAGATAATATGAAATTAACAAATCAGCAACTTACTATAATTACTTTACTTGAATCCATATGGTAAGGCAGAACACAAAATTTGTAATTCACAAAACACATTCTCACTGACTCGTACATTAAAAAAGGGGCATATGCCTGCATGTTGCATTACTCATACCAATGTGTTTACACACTCTACACTTGCATGTATTTGCAAGTCATTTGTTTTTGTAGCATGTCTATCTATTGTTGCCATTTGTAACTTATTATAACTGTGAGAAACAAGATTGAACTATCAGTAACCTTACTCTGATGCATAAAGTTATCTGTATTTCAGCCTGCTTGCATCCATAAGAGGAAATAATGAAATATAATATCCCATGCAATACCAGATTTACAAATATGCTAACTGAGGTACAGCTTAGGACCACGAAAGTATATTACATTTAAAGTCCTTAATTGTCTTTGCGATTAGTTATTCAGTGCATTTTTGCCAGTGATCATACTCACTTGAAACATAATCATTTGTTTACTTTGGCCTTCATATTAAGATAGCTCTGTTTTAATCTGTTATTAAGTCTTTCAAAGGAATGCATTTGAGTAGGTTATATGATCAGGTTTGTAATTTGTGCCTGTTCAGTCTCTAAATCTTTGCACCTGAAGTGCTACATTCACAGTTGTTAAAATGGTGTCTCAAATAGAAAAAGATTAATGTGTTCTGTGGTTTCACAAGTCTAGGTATGCTGCCTAATAATTAAACATGCCACACACAACAGTGCACAAAGTTTTGCAGGGACATTTGAAATTTAAGTTATAAATACCAACTGTTTCAACATGTAACTGTCCAAGACAAAGTTTCTCACACATTTTCTTCTGAATTTTGTTCAAGACTTGAAGATGAACTTTTTACAGCCAAAATTGTTTTCAGTGATGAGTCACATTCCATTTATCAGGAAACATTAATGTACATAAATTGAGAATTTGGGGGAGCAACATTTCTTATGAAGTTGCATAAGAGACAGTCCAAAGTTGAATGTGTTTTGTCCTTTGTCCAAACAAAATGTTTGGGCCTTTTTTCTTTGCTGAATTTACTTTGACATGGAGGAATTCCTCACACGTATTATAAAAGAAGAGTGTCCTGATGACATGCTGTTCCAACAAGATAGAACAAATCCACATTTCCATAAGGAAGTGGCAGACTTCTTAAATTTCAAATTCCCAGACAAGTGGGCTGGCGGGGGCAGGCCTATCACTTGGTCACTTTGTTATCCTGACCTCTTAATTTCTTGTTTTGGGGTGCACATCAATTGCAAGGGTGCAAGGATGCTGCATATGTGCCATCATTGTCTACCACTTTACTAAACTTGCTGGAAGGATTAGAGATGTAGTGACTGCAATTTCAGTCAACTTTCTTTACAATGCGTGGACTGAAATTGAATACAGGCATATCTAGTGGACCACTCACAGTGCCCTTATTGGACATTATGAAATATAGGTCACAGAAACTTGATATTATGACCTTCTCAAATTCATTAGTTTTCTTTCTTGTGCCTTTAATTTAATGAGAAAAGTTGCAGTAAAGTGGTATACAGTTGTGTATACACCTTTTATTATGATTTTTTCCTGCATTCTGGTGGCAAAACATGAATGTATACTTGGTTTTCTCTTTATCTTCTACTATACCAACCCTCTTATTGGTGTCTAATGGAGCTTTTATGCTTTTTATGTTCATGTTCTTTTGGATTAAATTAACATCAGAAGCTTCTGTGTCCCACTCACTTCTAGTCCCTTTATGTTTTCTTGGACATTCCTGACAGCATATTCTAAAATAAAGCTGAAAAGCATTGATGATGAAGCGTCTCCTTGTTTCATAAGCGGTTGGAATTAGAGGTTATTATTAATTATAACTATGTACAGTTTGTATGAAATAGTTGCACACAAGTATTGGCTTAGGACTACATTCTGTGCTTCACATACGCTTCAGGCATATTCTGTGCTATTTGTTCATACAGGGAGAGGCGGGAGCTGTGGCTTGCTAAGTTGTACTTTTGTTAGTATGACATATAGATGTGAAACAATTGGGTTTTGTGAATATAATATTCCAAGGAATTCATTCACTGCATATCATAGTGTTTTTAGTTTTTGTCTTGTAACTGAAAACATTATAAATGTGGGTTCTAAGCAGGCACTTACTTTCTGTCATTGTAATCGAATATCAGCACATAACTTCATAGTCTAGTCAAGCTGTCTTATCTGAACTGTTCATTAAAAGAGAAGTTGAGCCATACCCACCTGTCTTTTCTGCCCCCCTCCTGTGTTATCTGTGTAGGTTAGTTGACCAGCCAAGCCAAGAACAAGTTTGGTATTCACCTGCTGACCTTGTGGAGTTGATACACACAGTATACTCCATTTTTTTTGCAGCTTACCTCAGGAAATTCTCATCAACCTTTTTCATCTGCATACAAATGAAGTAAAAACAACTTTATGATGAAGAAAGGAGGAGAACAGTTGTTAGCATGTTTTGAACATGCATCAATTGCACAATGGGGGGAATCTATAATCTGTGTTAGTTACTGAAACATAACTCTGACAATTTTGTTTCTTTATTATATGTAGATTTTTTCTAAATTTATTAGTGTCCTTACAGATGAGTAGCTTCATATGTATGATTATGGTTTTTACATTTAAGGTGATAAACTGTAATCTTTACAAGATAATTAAACTTCTTAACACACATTAAGGCTGATTTATCATAGAAGGTGATTCATCACTTACTTAATTACTGACATCACAAGTGACAAGTTTTTTGACAGCTGGAGCTGTTA